AGAGAGAGAGAGAGAGAGAGAGAGAGACAGAGAGAGACAGAGAGAGAGACAGAGACAGAGACAGACAGACAGAGAGAGTGAGAGAAAATGAATGAAACAAAAGGGTGAGAAAAAAGAAATCATTGCGTTCACATACACAAAAAAAAAAAAAAAGCATTCGGGGGGAAACCTGTAAGTGAGCACGTAAGTCCGTACATGAGCCTGTGTATCAGCGTTAGCTCAATCTTCAACATGTCTTGCGCCATTGAATTAATACTTGATGTCTATTAAATGTTCATTTGAGGACAAAATGAGATATTTTTTTCTGGATTATTACTTGGTGTCTCTCAGACGTCAATTTGAGGACAAAGAAGAGATATGTGTCACGACGTGGTGGAATCAGGCGCTTGTCAAATTTTGGGCATGTGGAGTTATTGGTATCATCTGAAAGCTGATTTATTTGAGTTGCTTCCAATGAGATAAATATCCATTTATCTTGAATAGACCTCAAGATATCTGCATTTGAAGGAACTGAGGTCGCTTGGTTTCAGTGTTGAAATTAGCTAGGTAAAAGTCTTTAAAAACTGAAAAAATGACATAATTTGTACCTTTAATCAATGTTTTCAGTAAAATTCACATGGAAATGTGTTTTTATATGGACATAAAATAGATCAAGCCAAAAAATAAAAATTCGACAAAAATTTCCAAAGCAGCAAAATGACTATTTCTCAGATTTCGTTATTTTGATGAGCGCCTGATTTCACCACACTACCTCACATAATGCTCTTCTAGATTAGTACTAAGTGTCTATCAAATGTCAACTTGAGGGGGGAAAAAAGATATATTTTCTTCTAGATTAGTACTAGGTGTCTTTCCAAACATCAATTGGAGGACAAAAAGAGATCAGATATACTCCTTCGAAACGTTGACCTTTCCTCCCTACCCACTCACCGTACTCGGTGTCACTGTCCCCTCCCTCTTCCTCCACATCCGAGCCATCATGCAGGTCGAGCTCCAGCCGAGATCTGACGTGGCGCTGCGCCTCTGATACTTTGTCCTCCTTCATCTGCCAGAGATCCACGTGGCTGCCACCCACAATGGGGGTAGGGGTGGGGGAGGAGGAACAGAGGAAGATACCCAAACAGAGCATAATAAAATCCTTGTCTCTGACTTTCATAAGTCAGACATTTCGTCAAACCCTATTCCGGATCTCAGGAGCACTCGCTTTTGAGATATCTAAGTACAAAGTTTTTGCAAACTACATCTGCCACTAGTGAAGAACAAAATTTTGTTTTGTTTTGTTTTGTTTTAGTAAGAGTTTTATGGCACTTGCAACACAATAAGGTCATGTAAGTGCCGAAGATTAGAGGCGTTACAAGAGAGTAACAAACACAAAATAGAAAGAGGGGGGATAAGGACGATAGTTGTTTGATAGGAAAGAAGAAGCAAACCACACCAGAGCACCCGTCAACCACCCACGACGAACAAAATTCACATCATTTTAACTAAGAAAAGACAAAGAAAAGCTATTCCACGGTATTGACGGGATATTTGGACTATGCTTTCTTACAATGATAACACTGTAATTCAATATCAATTAATTTATTTCAACCTTATACGATTAGAACATTTGAAAGACATTTTAAGAATACTATTAAATGCAGTCATTTGAAAAACAAAAGTACTTAATATACAAATTCTGTGACGTGTTTAGTTTTAGGAACTGACGGAACAAGTGAGGTACAGTCAAACCTGTGTAAGACGGCCACCCAGTGTCAAGGACAAAAGTGGCCGTATAAGACAGGTGGCCGTCTTAGGCAGGACTGATCAAGATGAAGAAAACAAACCATTCCCATCTGAAGTCCCAATCGAAAGTAGCCGCATTGTTGTTGTTTTTTATGTTTTTTTGTTGTTGTTAGTTTGTATTTTGTTTGTTATTTTTATTTTGTTGCTGATTTTGCGCAAGGGTGACAATAAAACGAAATGTATCAGACGATGAAGACCGAGTGCCATGTTAAAACAAACACATGGGTCGCCACCACTCGGAGAACGAGGGACGCTTCTGTCGCAAGTTCATGTTGACGTCCTTTGTTACTTTGTTACAGACTGAGTAAACACCATTGATCTCACTTACGACTTGTGTATGAGTTCTGGGCGGGGCTTATGGGATATGAAGGATCACAGGCTTACCTCACCAACAGCTGAAAATCGGTACCTATTGGTCGACAGTGGGAGGGGCCTACACAACATGATCGGTTGGAAGGACTACCTAACAACAACAACAACAAGTGATTGGATTATGACGGCTCGCCCACAACGCCAGGGGCCAGTGCACAATTTATGACAAAACGTAATGGAGTCACTAAGACAGGTGTTATTGCTTAGTGTGATAGGGGTTGTGTGTTAAAATATTGTGGTCGCGGCCGCGTTAGGCAGGTGCCCGTTTTACACAGTTAAATTATATAGAAAAAACGCAAGGGGGGGAATGGAAAGTGGCCGTTTGTACAGGTGGCTGTCTTATAGAGGTGGCCGTCAGGGCAGATTGGACTGTATTTTTTCTGTCCCGACAGTCACTGTTGAATAGCCCAGAAAATAAAACTGCCAAATTGTATAGGTTGAACACTCCTTGCAAACACTATAAGGATATTTAACTCTTTATCTCCGGCAAGCAGCTCACAGCGGCTCGCGGTTGGAACCACTATGCCGGTGAGCCGCTGACAGCGCCTCGGGTACATTCCTTTATGACGACTTCGACATCAAATTACTTTTCGGCAACTGCCGAAAACAAGGTCTCATATACCGGAAGTTCATTCATTAGATGAAGAACTGTCGAAAAATGTTTGCTAGTTTCGATTTAATGACTCATTTAACGACGTTTTGGTCATTTTTAGATTTAGCACAAAAAAAGGGCCCCAGCATAGTGGGTTTACCCCCCTCGGAGATAAAGAGCTAAGAGGCGGGCTGGCTTGGAACGTCGATCTCTCACAGGGCACAGCAAAATGGAAAAAGTTCATGCAGTACCTTTCCCAGGCATACAATGTCGGACCAAGCTAAGCTTCAAACACCCGAACCCACAATCTCATGATGACAAAGACAATGACAATGAAAATCTTGATTCATCTCACAGGGAGAAATTTGTCTTGGTCGCTTACAATGGCAGTGGAATGTTAAAAAGGTAAGGTGCACTCACGCATACACACAACAAAACAAGGCATTAGTAAATACATGTTTTACGAGCTGAAACAACTCACTACGTAAAACATTCTCTCTCTCTCTCTATGTTTCATTTGTAGCACTATGTGTTCAGTAACCTCCCTGCAGTTTGTACGAAAGCATTTCTATATCTGTCTGTTCTTGCTTTTTTGGAAATATATCCTTTACTATGGGCCCGATAATTGAAACTTCGATGTCAGTGGGTGGATATGGTCACTTAGCATTATTTCCGCTTTTTTAAAAAGTTATTCAGGTCTCTAAAAATTGTTCTTGATGCCTTTCTGATCAACTTGTTATTTTTATGATGTGCCCAACCACTAAACTACAAACGCCACTAAAAAAGAAGAAAATGGAGTAATTCAATCAGCGATTTGTTTTCTGAATGCACAGAACATGAAATCATGTGAGACACATCTTAAGTTTTGTTTGTTTGTATAGTAAACAGAGGCACATCCACATAATAATGGTCATTTAGTGCTGGTCACATTTCTGCAATCTATGGTGAAAATGGGATGGGTGAGGGTACAGTAAGGAAATGAGGTTTCGGAATTCAATAGCAGACAGCAAAAGGTTAATGAAAAAACTCAAGGGTTGGCAGATTTTTAACACTAATTATTGCAGAGAGTTACCATAAACATCCGAGAAGTTATAGAAGCAAGTACAGATCCTTTGCTACAGCATACCAATTGGCCAGCACTATCTTTTCCCAGTCGTTTTTTTTTTTTTTTGGCTTACAGACACATGAAGTACAGAACCTTTTGAATGAAAAGATTTCTGTTAAAACAGGGAAGATTGGAAGCACTCCAGAACAGACCTTTTTTCTTTCTTTTACTCTCAGCGCCCATCGCTGATTTGGTAGTTTTGACATCTTTATCGGTATGGCAGCAAAATAGGTCAAAGAGTCGATAACTACAAGGAACAATCGGTAGAAACAGGCAGCTCTATAATAATGCCTAGTACCACGCAACGTATGGCACCAGTAACTTTATCTCACCTCGTTTCCTGGAACACATTCTTCACATCAACCTTTGGAATGCCACCAGACTCAGTGGCCACATCACACTGGAGAAGGACACAAGAAAACATACACACTAAACTACAGCAGACGATGCTACTGGATCGCTTACAACAACAACAAACTACAGCAGAAAAATTTCGAGTGAGCCATTCATCCAGCCTCAAAACAATATCCCCTGTCCCTCGAGTTACACAACCTGTGCCTCCATGCGGATTACAACTTTATTGCAGGGTGATTAAGAAAAAACACACACAAAAATCCTGTGATCTCACTATCACATCCAGGGTCACTTAACCTTAACCGTATGTCTTGTTTTACTATCGTATCCATACGACGTGGAGAACTCTGTGTCACCACTTTCCAAAGAGGAAATTTATTTGTTATTCCGATCCGTATGCCGTGCATAGCAGTCTGTCAAAATGATTTTTTGAGAAATACTGAAATTTTCAAAGAGACCTTTGTACTAGAAGTATTCTAAAATGAGAAGAATACAACCCCGGGGGTACAAAATGACCCCAGGGCGTACAGATAGGATTAAGCAGTACTCACAGAGAGCAGAGATGTCCCCAAACACTGAATGAGTGAAAACTGGGTGTGTGCTCCCCCATAAATCCAGAGGTAATAAGTGGCAAGCATGAAGCATATGTCCTCCATGAGTTCAGAGGTAAAGTATGGTAAAAAGAACGGAGTGTACGTCTTTCCTATACCTCAAGTGCGGGATGATAAAAAAAGGGGGTGTATGTGCCCCATAAGTTCGGAGGTAAGAGATGGTAAAAAATGAAGTGTATGTCCCCCATATACCTCAAGTATTGTATGGTTAAAAAAAGGCCCCATAAGTTCAGAGGTAAAGTATGGTAAAAAGAATGGAGTGTATGTCCACCATGAATTCAGAGGTAGTGAACAATAAGACAATGCATGTATGCCCCCATATTGCTTGAGGAATTATGCAGTCAAATGCGAGTCTGAATTTGAGGACACAAACAGATTACCAAAAAAAACAACTGTTGGCCGCCCCTCCCTTTATCCATTGACCATCCCCAGCATTGCTGTCCCCTCCCTCCTCCTCTTCTGAGCCAGCATGCAAGTCAAGCTCCAGCTGAGAATGACATTTGATGAAGCTGCTAGTAGCTCTCCCACCCCGATCCTACCTCTTACAAAACAAGGGACTAATCCAGTCTACAAGGGCCTCACAGAAATCTCACTGCAGACAAAAAGAAACCATAAGCTCATGTGGGGCCAAAAACCTTACTGGGGAATGGGTGGAGGGATGAGGTGGGGCCAAAAACCTTACTGGGGAATGGGTGGCAGGATGAGGTGGGGCCAAAAACCTTACTGGGGAATGGGTGGAGGGATGAGATGGGGCCAAAAACCTTACTGGGGAATGGGTGGAGGGACGAGATGGGGCCAAAAACCTTACTGGGGAATGGGTGGAGGGATGAGATGGGGCCAAAAACCTTACTGGGGAATGGGTGGAGGGATGAGATGGGGCCAAAAACCTTACTGGGGAATGGGTGGAGGGATGAGATGGGGCCAAAAACTTTACTGGGGAATGGGTGGCAGGATGAGGGGGGAGGGAGCGCAAAAAAACGTACCGGAGAATGGGTGCCGGGATGAGGTGGGGCCATAAACTCTGAAGGCGACGGCAGATACACTGACTGATCACAGGACTTCCTCAGTCCGAGCTCTGGCTCAGAGACACGACTATCTTCCCTTCCCTCAGAGTGGACTGAGCAGACTTCAGTGGGTGATGGTGGTGGTGATGATGAAGATGATGGTGGTGATGATGATGCAAGTTCTGCTTCTAATGGTCGCCTCCTCTTGTTTTCTGACATAGGCTCTGCTTCGTTCACAGAGGGCTGACCCACGTCCTCATGTGGAGAACATCGCTGCGTCTCACTGACAGAAAGCCGCCCGGCTTCGTGGTCCGACTGCTGGTCCACCTCTACGTCCGATCCTGCTTCCTGTGTCCCATCTGCATCTGAGCACACAGCATGCTGCTCTTCCTCCATTTGTAGAAGAGCTGGGGACAGAACCAGAGAGCTGCCTGAACAACACAGGACACTGACAGTCTCATTAAAAAAACAACAACAAAACAAAACAAAAAAAAACAAAGCAACAACAACAACAAACAAAAAAAAACAAAAAAACTAAACGTACTACACAGAAAGCCTTGCCAGATAAACTGCTAGGCCTGAAAAACCCACATCAACGACATCTATGTCATTGTTTTATGTTTTAGTAAGTGTTTTTCAGTACTTGCAACACAATAAGGCCATATATAAGTGCCGAAGATTAGAGATGTTCCAAAAGAGTAACTAAGACAAAAAAGAAGGAATAGAGAGAAGGACGATAGATGTTTGATAGGAAAGAAGGAGCAGACTACACCAGAGCACTCACCGAACACCCACCAGCTATGTCAAATGTACAAACAATTTTTCAACATTCGATCAAAGGTTTCTCATTTCTACTTTACTGTGTTCTTCAGCATTTCAATTTTTACAGCTCTTCGATATTTTTACTCTACAAAAACGAAGTAATATTTTTAAAAATGTAGTCACAAAGCAAAACAAGAAATGCGTGTAAGGAGCAGACCACAAAAGACGGCTATTGAAGCACCTGATCAAGTGGAGGAATGAAAATCTACGATCTTATCAAGACACTTAGCTGACCGTCTAGCACCACAAGAACACACAGCTCTGCCGTCTTTTGACAAAAAAACGCGTATGTGTAATTAGGCCAAGTATCGTTTTTATACAGGGGAGAAAGCCCTTTTCATGGTGGGTAGGATGTTGTGTGTTTTCAGGGTATTTTTCACACCCTCGAGCCAGGTCTTCTTTGGTCTTCCTCTCGCCTTGTGCCCTGATATTCTTTTGCAGTGCGCTTTACTGGCTAGCTGGTGAGATGCCAAGCGTGTCAGATGTCCAAGCCACCTGATTGTTTGCCTCTGTATGAAGTGGAGGACAGGGGTCGTTCCCAATACCAAGGCCAATACCATCTAGTACTAAAGCAAAAAAATCCACAATTAAAAGGTCCCACTCATAAGCACTTGTATATCAACTCTTTTCTTTCTTAAACAGCTACAGCAAATCGCTACCTTTGAATAACAAAATTCTATCTGCTCAGTTCCTTGTTTTGAGAAATTTGCCATTAAAAAATTTGGAGTTTTACATGTCAAGCTTTTTCGAATGCAATTCTTTGAATATCTAGATAACGAATCCGAATAATCTTGCAATTTTGATAGAGCAGATAGAACTTTTGGTTTCTGACCTTGTTGTCTTAGTAACTCAAAACGGCCAAACATGATGGATAGAACTTTGCAATTCTGAGGCAGCGAAATCTTGGTCCTTCCCTAACAAATCAATGTGAGAACAGGCAAATTTAGGTCAGTCTTTCCCCAAACAGCAGACAGAACAAAAAAAATCTTGGTCACTCTTTCCCAAACACAAGCAAATCTAGATTACACTCTCCCAAACAGTTGGTGAAAAGAGCAAATCTGGGCCACTCTTTCCACAGCAGTCAGACAACAAGCAAATTTAGGTCAGTCTTTCCCAAACAGTCCGATAACGAACAAATCCGGGTCAATCTTTTCCAAACAACAATGTTATACTCACAGATAAAGCAAAAATCCCCACCCCAATGTCCCAGTCACTCACCAGCTTCCACAAACTGAGCAGGTAATTCATCGTATTCCAGCTCTCCTCCGCTACTCTAAGAGGGGAAGAAGACAGATGAGACAAATGAGAAACCAGTGTTCACGTACACCATTGTAGGCTGACAGTACAAACCAGGTATAATGGTCCTCTTAGTCAGTACGATGGGGGGGGGGGGGAGAGACAACCATGAGTCTCAACTCAGAATTTTTTAAAAAGGAGGAACTTTCCACGTGATCGCGACAGAAGACCGTTTTTTCGAGACACCCATTATTATTACATGTATCCTGTTTAACTCTAGAATGCTGAAATAAAAACCATCAATTTATCAAAACAAGGTTATTTCATACCAATTTGAGGGTTTGGAAGATAATTTCAAGTAAAAGAGTCATTTTCCAAATATTATTCACAATCTTGATAATTTGTTTTGATTTAGTAAGGTTCTTACGGCGCTCGCAACTGCATCAGGTCATAAGAGCGCCAAGGGGTGGATGTCAATGGAGAAGTCCATACAGGGAATCAGGCTTACTCTGCTCACCTCTCTAGCTTCAACAGCACAAAGTCTGCTTCAACTATCAAGGCACCTCGGAAAGAGCTGGTCACAAGAGTGTGACAAACATACAAAAGAAGTAGAGGAAAAAGGACGATAGGATTAGGAAAGAAAATGCAGCAGTTCCCTGTCGCAGTTCAGGCACAGTTATGAGCATGACATTGTTGAATCAGCCCATTTACAATTCTACTGTGCATAAGAACAAGTTAATGTCCCCCTGTTGGGAATGTGGGAATGGCGTAAAGACACTTCAGTCCCGGATGGGGGGACAGAGGCACTTCAGAGAAAATGGTAATTCTGTTGTGTAGAGATAGTGCATGCCCAGTATTAGTATTCTTTCATGATTTAGTAAATCTTTTTCGGCACATGCAGCACAATTAGGTCAAAGATAGTAGGTAGTGAGCAGAAGATTAGAGGTATTACGAGAAGTAACAAACACAAAAATGAAGGGGGAGAGATAAGGACAACAAATGTTGGATAGGAAAGAAGGAGCAAACCCCATCAGAACACCCGCCAACCACCTGCTGGTATTCTTTCGAGTTCATCAGAATCATACTGACATATATGAAGAGGATCACTGCATGCAGGGAAAGAGAGACAAACAGAAACAACAGAGGGAGAGTGGAGGAAGCGAATACTCTGAAACCTATCACTCTACCACAGAGCTACACAATGGCTTTGTTCAAAGCTAAACGTCAACAAAAATTTCTTAATAATAATAATAATAAATGACATTTATATAGTGCTCATCAAACCCGATTAAAGTACACAGGCTCTGAGCCCTTTACAATACAGTACAATGTACAACAGTAACATAAAACGTTGTGTTCTGACTAAAAATCACTCCAAATATTCATCTAATTAATTTAAAAACAGAAATGAATTCGGCTGACATTTGAAAGAATCAAAAGATTTGATTTCCCTTAAAGTACTCTTCTTTTTGGTTGGTAGTCCCAGGGCATGTGGAGATCAATAAGCTAGTCATGATATCATCAGCCAGCTGTTCAGATGTACTAAGCCCCAAATTTTGAAGAAAAAAAAGGTTTTTGTGCAGTTCAATCTCTGGAAATTGTTGCAAATACTATTTCAAAGCATTATTTGGTTGAAATTTAAAATTCTAAATATTGAAAAATGTAAGTAAAATTCATAATGTAGGAATAACTTGTAACCGATTTGAAATAGTTTTATTTTCTGTCTCCTGAAAAAGTTTAATTTCTGATTTCTGGGCTTGGGACATTTGAAAAGCTTGCGGACGATATTCCTTTGCCTGCCACGCCCTTGTCGCCCCCCCTCCCCTCCAGCCAAATCCCCTAGACAGACCAGAAGTTGACACTCCCCTCATTCTCACTTGCACTCACTCACCATAGCAACCTCCTCCTCCAGCATGTGAGAAGCCACAGAGAGCCATGGGCCAGACTCCTTCCATCTACGAATCACAAGGAGGAAAGGATAATGAGTTTTGTTTTGTTTTAGTGAGGTTTTAGTTTTCGTAAGAGTTTTACGGCACTTGCAACATAATAAGGTCATATAAGTGCCCAAGAAAGGTGTGTTACAAGAGAGAAAAATACGCAAAAAAAGGAGGAGGGATAAGGGTCAATAAATGTTTGATAGGAAAGAAGGAGCAAACAACATCAGAGCACCCGCCAACCACCCACTTTGTAAGGTTTTACGGCGCTCGCAACTGCATAAGGTCATATGAGTGCCAAGGGGTGGATGTCAATAGAGAAGTCCAAACAGGGAAGCAGGCTAACTCTGCTCATCTCTCTAGCCTCAACAGCACGAAGTCTGCTTCGACTATTGAGGCACCCCGGAAATAGCAGTTCACAAGAGAGAGACAAACATACAAAGAAATAGAGAAAAAAATGACGATAATAAGAATGAGGAAGAAAAAGCAGCAGTTCCCCCTATGTTGTTCCGGCACAGTATGAGCATGACATTTATAAATCAGCCCAGTTACAATTCTACTGTGCATAAACATGGTTCCCCCTTTGGGAATGGCCTAAAGACAATTCAGTCAGTAGCACTGCCCTGGGGAGGAAAGAAAAATGAGTTTTAGTTTTAGCAAGAGTTTGACTTTTGAGTGAAGAGAAGCACACCGACAAGACAACGGTCACAGGGTGCAGGGAAGAAGTCTATTCATGGTGAGCACTGAAGCTGCATTAATCCATCCGAGAGGGTGGTTGGCACGTGCTCTGGTGTAGTTTGCTCCTTCTTTCCTTTCAGGCAACTATCATCCTCATCTCTCCTACTTTTTTTGAATTTGTTACTCTCTTGCAACACCTCTAATCATGCGTAGTTATATGACCATATTGAACAGTGGGCGGCAGTTGGCACTTGAAGACAATATTGAATTTGTGAACCGTAAATGTTGTCTCCAATAACACCGCTTGCCGCTCAAAGTTTTTCTATTCTTGGACTTCAAGGTCAAATTTGACACAAGCAAGGGAGGGATCTAAGATAAGATAAGATAAGATAATACTTTATTGCCTTGGTCGGAAATTTTTCTAGGCTGTATACAGGAATGGTAAAAACACATGTTGACATTGAACAAGACTTGTCGCCACTGAGCAGCACCGGAAGAAATTTTCCTTTTCTTTTTTTCTTTGCTTGCTTTTTTCTAGTAAGAGAAGCGCACCAACGCAATAACAGACATAATATAGTATAGGGAAGCTGAAAATGTTTCGCAGTGTTCTATGGTCTGCTGGGGTAATAATATAGTGTAAAGCGCATACAGCCTGCTGTTGAGCGGGGGTATGCGCTATACAAAAGCTATTTATTATTTATTATTATCATTATAGTGCAGGAGAAAAATAAAACAGATGGGCAGAAATAACATAGGCAAAGAAAGGCAGTGGAATCTACTAGTGGCACCCGTCAACCAACTACAGAAAGGGACAAACAAACAAAAAACCAGAAGTAGGATCCACTAGTGATGCCCTTCAACCATCCACCCACAGAGAGAGAGGGAAAAAAGTAGGATCTACCCGTGGTACACTCCTACTTTTAGTTTTAGTAAGAGTTTTACGGCACTTGCAACACAATAAGGTCATATTATAAGTGCCGAAGAATAGATTATGCGTCACAAAAGGGTAACATACACAAAAAAGAAGGAGGGGAGATAAGGACGACAGATGTTTGATAGGACAGAAGGAGCAAACTGCACCAGAGCACCCGCCAACCACCCACTGGTACACCCCAACCACCCGCTGACATAGAAAAAAGAAAAGAAGTACACTCCAACCATCTGTTCACAGCGAGAAACGAAAGAAGTAGGGTCTTCTAGTGGTGCCCTCCTGCAGGGATAAAAACTGATCAGTCCAGAATAAACTTAACTTTTCGCGGGAAATACAGATTTGGAAAAAAACACACTTATATTCAATTGTGGATCAGTACACATTGTAGAATGACTCACCATTGAAAGTAGGTAGACAGGCATCAGGGATCCCACATACGGAAAATGACGGAGCAAATCAAAATTACGGATTTCCGTAAATTTTCGGAGAAATATCCATCCCTGTTCCTACCACCCATTGTTGCACGGAGGAGCTTACCTGTAAAAGAGCTGCACAGAGCAGTAGCCATCCGGCTGCACAGCCGCCCTGACACACACTACCAGGTCCCGACCCGTCACCTGCGACTCAAACACAGTCACTGCTCGGCGAGTCCACGCTTTGGACAACTGCAACAACATCAGTCACATGTGCTTCATTTCAAAACAGAGCATGAGTCTTTCGAAAAAGTAAGCAGTTCACTTATGGAGTTACTCAGGCAATGAAAGCTTTCTTTCGTTTTAGAGCGCTTCCACACAATAAAGCTCAGTTAGTTTTAGTAAGAGTTTTATGGCACTTGCAACACAATAAGGTCATATAAGTGCCGAAGATTAGAGGTGTTACAAGAGAGTAACAAACACAAAAAAGAAGGAGGAGAGATCAGGATGATAGATGTTTGGTAGGAAAGAAGGAGCAAACCACACCAGAGTACCTGCCAACCACCCACAATAAAGCTCATTTCGTGCCGCGGAAAAAAGCAAGTAAAAAGACAAAAAGAAAAGAGGTAAAGAACACTAAATAGGACCTATCAGTGGCATCATCCAACCATCTGCAAGAGAAGCCTGCACATATTTCATATTGATTAACTTGTACACATACTTTCTCTGGAAACTTTTGATTCCACAGGACAAACCATCATTTAGTCATCTTTACATGGCAGAAGACTGGTTGAAAACTTTCACATGCAAGCAGAAACAGGGACATAGGACCAGTCCAAAGGAAGTTTTTAGTTTTAATAGAGGTTTTACGGCCCTCGCAACTGCATAAAGTCATATGAGCGCCAGAAGATTAGACGTGTTACCAGAGAGTAACAAAAATAAATAAGAAGGAGGGGAGATAAGGTCGACAGATGTTTGTTAGGAAAGCAGAAGCAAACCACACCGGAGTTCCCGCCAACCACCAAAGGAAGACACACAGATGAAACATGACACACATAAGTGCTACATGGCACACTGATAGGTGGCATGTTACTTGTAGAAATAACAATAATAGTTTGTCAGTCAATGTCTGTCAAAGACCAATGCATCTAGAGAGGAGAATACTTCTGAAGCGAAATAGCAGAATATGAAGAATGAAAGGTTGAGACGACTTGTGGTTTCTGCTTTAGCCGATGAGACCAATTTTGGCAGAGAAAAGTTTGCCACATTTTGATTTTGAGCATTCCAAAGCTCCGCTATCACTTGTGCTACACAAATGAAAACATGACACACAACACATAGGTGGCACATGAAACTCCTGTTTTGTTTTAGTAGAGGTTTTAAGGCGCTCGCAACTGCATAAGGTCATATGAGCCCCAAAGGGTGGATGTCAACAGAGAAGTCCATACAGGGAATCAGGCTTACTCTGCTCACCTCTCTAGCTTCAACAGCACAAAGTCTGCTTCAACTATCAAGACACCTAGGAAATAACGGGTCACAAGAGAGTGGCAAACATACAAAAGAAGTAGAGGAAAAATGACAATAGTTAGGATGAGGAAAGAAAAAGCAGCTGTTCCCTGCTGCAGTTCAGGTACAGTTATGAGCATGACATTATTGAATCAGCCCATTTACAATTCTACTGTGCATAAGAAAAAACATAATGTCCCCCCTTTGGGAATGGCCTAAAGACACTTCAGTCAGTGGCACCGCCCCGAAAATTTCCCTTTGAAATTCACACATTGACGACACATGACATACTGATCACAAACTACACAATTACGACGCATGACACAAAGACAGTGACCCGTGTACTGACCGGTACAATGCTAGACAGCTCACAATGATGTGCCTGTGGAGGAAAGCACTGGAAGATTTCCTGGTTGGCCAGTCGGACTCGGCTAAACTTCACAATCTGCGTAAAACCCTGATCTATGTAGAAAACATCCACTGTGCCCGAGTCAGTGTCGCTGTGCAGGAAAGAAGTAGGATAAAAAACCACATTACTCGAGGGACAGGGCATTATGAAATGTGTCACGACGCAGTGGAATCAGGCGCTCGACAATTCTAGAGCATGTGGAGTTATTGGCCTTGCTTTCAATGAAAAAAAATATCCATCTACCTTGAATAGAAGTTGAGATATTTGTAAGTGAAGGAGGCGGGGGTCTCCTAGTTTCGGAGACAAAGTTAGCGAGAAAATGGCCGCCAAAATTTGGCATCTTCGACAGCTTTAGAGTCTTTGAAAAGTGAAAATTTGCATATTTTGAGGCTTTAATCTAAGCTTTCAGTAAAATTCACATGGAAATGAGTTTTTATATGGACATAAAAGGTGTTGAGCCAAATAACAATTTTTAAAAAAAAAAGCCAGACAGGTGGAAAAATGCCTGTTCTTCCATTTCATTGTTTTGGCGAGCGCCTGGTTTCACCATGATGCCTCACAAATATGCTTCGTCTCAAAACGGAACATGTAGCCGAGAACAGATGCCAAAGATCCAGCTCTGACAAATTCGAAAAAAAGGAACAGTGAAAATCGGTATGCCTTTGTTATTATTTGAACATTCCTATTTTCATTCATATTACTGTTTTTAAAATGGTTCACTTTTCCATTGCTCGATGAGTGTTTATCCCGTTCGGTTCACAACCTTAAGTGTGATTTAAGTTCGGCCCCCTGTGAAATTGCGTTTGCCACCCCTTTTTTAAAGAGTTCACAAACCACCCACCAAAGTTGATGGTAGATAAGATAAGATAAGATAAATCTTTACTGTCCACATCCTGACACATTGGTTTGGTGTTTCACCACTCACGCACTCCCGCCCGCGCACACACACACACACACACTCACACACGTCCTCTCTCCTCCACACACACATTTGTTCACATAAACATAATAATATAACTATAGCGCGGTCAAAAATTTGTGGCGCAACTCATCCTCAAATATATCTTTATAACGGGTGAATCAATGTCACCCATACTTTGCACAGCAGTTTGTCTCAATTTGTCTTAACGTAATCATATTTTTCCAGAACAATTGAGGCTAGACTACAAAACTTTTCTTCATAAATTTATATAAAATACTACAAACCTCCTTCAAGCGGAAAATAGAATTGTTCTCAGCACTTCCAACACACATTTTGTATACGTGTATGGGATACGTCACAGCTCATCAATGACACTTTTTAGTGGCAAAACTGGTTACGAGAAATGAATTTTATAGTGAACACTTTTTGCACTAAAAGTTCTCAAAACATGCGTTCAATAAAGATAATCTCACGATTAGAAAAAAATGAAGGACTTGCTTTCAAAAGCAATATCATTCCAGCTGTAAACTTTTAAAATCAGTAGAAACCACCCACTAGGATTTTTTATTAGTATTTATTTAGGAATTTTCTAGAATAGAGCCTTTAGGTCTTTACAAAAATATTGACCTGTTAAGACAAATTGATACATGTCACTGTGCAAAAGCTGGAGAGTTTACGTAGGATAGTTGAGGAGATATTTGACAATAAGCTGCGCCACGAACTTTTGACCGCACTATATATGTCAACAGTAACAGAAGTGAAAAAAAAACAACCAAGTTTCTATAGCAATGATACAGTGGCCCACACTTACACACTGAACACTTGCGCTCTCTCCCAGTGGCTCTGCTCACTTTCGCTGTCTGAGCTTGAAGAAACTCCACTGGCATGTTCAGCATCTGCCACCATGACGCAGTCTCCCAGCTCCAGGCTGCCAATGCTGTCCGGAAACTCCTGACATCCACCATTGAGAAACTCGTCAAACTTGCGTTGATACAGTCCAAAGTTATCAAAGTTGGAATCTGGTAGGTGTATGTGCAGAAAGCGAAAAAGAACTCTTAGATTACTGAAAAAGAAATTTTCTCAGGAAAATAGAGATCATCCAAAACGCAAAAGTTTGAGGAGTGAAATGCAAAGAAACCCAAAATGTGTGTAAATACATACCTGATCTAACCTGCGTTGAGAGATAGAAAAAAAACAACCTAAAAAACAAAGACCAAATTAAGAAAAAGGTGAACAATTAAAAGAGAACCTTAAAACCTTCTATGCCTCCCACATTTTGTACCCATCTTTTTTACGGCACTTGCAACACAATAAGGTCATATAAGTGCCGAGGATTAGAGGAGTTACAAGAGAGTAACAAACACAAAAAAGAAGGAGGGGAGATAAAGATGATAGTGTTTGATAGGAAAGAAGAAGCAAACCACACCAGAACACCCGCCAAGCACCCGCGAAATTGGTCCTTGTTTGTTAGTTTGAGCAGAGAGGCCCATTTACACAATAATGGTAATTTAGCGCTAGGAAAAAGTAAGACAGACAGACAGAAACAACAGAGAGAAAGTAAAGAAGTAGGACCTACCAGTGGCACCCTCCAAATTGGTTTAATATCCAAAGAAAGAGGTGTAAGACATCTATAGCTATAACAACCACATAAAGCAGAGTGATTTCTGTTACTCTCCTTAAGGACAGCAGAATGACACAATTCTGACCTCTCTACATGGGAAAGTCTGAGAAGAGCCACAGTAGAATGTCCTTCACCCTTACGATACAGGAGACAAGTGGATAGGATCATGAATTTTAATAATAACAAAATAAAATAATAAAAATGGGTTTATAATAATAATAATAACAATAATTGCTTGCGTATGTACAGGCTTTTCAGGATGCTCCATGCACTTTACAACCGTTATTACTCCAGCAGACCCTATGGTTTTAGTTGTGAGCGCCTAAAAACTCTTACAAAACTAAAGACCCTAGAACACCAAGAAACATTCTCGGCTTCTTAGGAAATACAAAGTGCAAACTGCGGGTTGCATGTCCTCAAACACTAAGTAACTGATAAGACCTTTCGCTGTCTATAACCGGTTACTTATTCCCACCTGGTTGAAGTGAGGAAAATTCGTGTAAAGTGTCTTTCCCAAGGACACAACATCATGTCCCTGAGAACAAACCATGGTTACAGCAAAATTCTTTCCTCGAGCAAAACATAAAAGATTTTCCTCTTATTCACTGCCACATGTAAAGTGAGACAAACAGCTCCTCCTTCCCACTGGGAAAAAAATATATCATATATATTTGCAGTAATTTTAGTCTTGAAAGCATTTAACAGTAACATAAGCAAAGCTAAACCATTCTTCGAGCAAAGGACAGTGTGTCAGATCCAGTGTTGAACAGAGAAATGAGGTCAACCTACCACTGCCGATTCTCATCCAGAAATTGCTTGGATCGATGACATGAGTCACGCGGCCCTTGTACACGGGCGGGAGGCTTTGGTGCCCTGCCATGGCCAGCCTTGCCACTGCCAGCTACAGAAAAGAAAATTCACAAGCCAAAACAATAAAAAAAAGTAACTTGATAAAGGCTAGAAAACTAACAAGAGAACAAACATATGAGATGGAAAATAAAGAGAGACATTGAACTGCATATTTTCCGAATTTTTAAAGAAAAACAAAGTTTTCTTACGAGCAAATGCAATACAACTTCCTCTCAGGAGGCTCTGTTTGAGAAGATAACAAACAACCAATGGCCAGCTCACAAGCAAATCACCTAATCCGGATGCAGGAAAGCCTTCATTAAGTAAGTGAAAGTTATAACTGAGCCAGTCTTTTTTCTCTAGCTGTATATATTAAAAACAAATAGTATATGCGGATAACTTTAAAAGTGGTTAGTGCACTTGTCTCCAAAGCAGAAAGTCCAGGTTGAAGCCTCGGTTCGGCCACAGATTTTTTTTTCCGCCCACCCACCTGTAATGGGTAACTGACTTCGAGTTGGGAAGTAAAGGACTAATTTTTTAAAAATAAATAAATTTTATTAAGGTTTTTTAAATCCATCAAAGTCACGACATCACATGCTTTTTCAGCTAACTAATATTTTTTTAGAATTTAAAAAAAAAAAAAAAATTAATTAGACCTTTACTTCCCCAACTCGAAGTCAGGTACCCATTACAGGTGGGTGGGCAGGAGGGGGCGGAAAAAAAATCCGTGGCCGAACCGAGGCTCAAACCTGGACTTTCTGCTTTGGGGACTATCGCACTAACCACTCCGCCACCACGCCACTGTGTAAGCTACAGGCTTTAAAAATACTGCAATAGTGCTTTGTGGTCATTTTGCCACCATGTGTGACAATAAAGTGGGAATCCCTCCATGACGTCAAACAAGATAGCTGTTACTATAAATATCGGCCAATGGCGTACATCTGTCGTTCTAAAGTTATCCGCATGTACAAATTATAATCAAGAAAATCTAATCTTCATTCCAATGTCCCTACTCATCAAATTACAAAACAATAAAACCTGATGGGCCTGTGTGACACTGTATACAGTCATGTACACAAAGTTTAATTCTGAGTGTGAACCAATTTGATTTGCAATCCCAATCATATCTTTCAATATTTTTACAAAGTGACTCGAGTCCGAATAGAGAAAAATTATATTCAGACTCTGAATTGAGTCCAGCATGACGTTCGTTCCGACCCTTGTTCTTAAATATTTCCAGTATGTACTAATATTTTTTCTACTATTATAATGATAACAGTCGAGACGTGAGCTTTAATATCCAGTTACTAGATCTATCTAAACTGGCTCTCCCTGCTTCATTGGTATGAACAGAACGATCAAGCTGAGCTGACCTTGGTGGGGGCAAAGTTAATTATGTCAACCAATGAGACTGTGTGTAGCAATCTCGAACTCTCGGCTCGCTGGGGGAAGAGGCCACAAGTAACTGTCGGTTTTGTGTGATGTGATAAAAGAAAAGAAAATTACAGAAAAACTATTACACACAACAAAATGAAATTAAACATATGGAAAGAAAAATGGTGGTGGAAGTAATGATGATGCTGTAATGGTGGTGGAAAGACCCTGAGTTGTCGGTTACCGTGTACTTAAACACTGCCATAGGGTAGATCTACTGATAGTGCAGTCTTTTGACTATTGACACAAGTACACAATCCTAGTAGGCAATTCTAGTTCTAATTCTGGTGTTACGTAAAATCTCCCGACGACAGTTATATTATGTAACCTTACATTCACAAGACTCATTTAGAAGCTGAGTCCGAATTTATAAATAAAACTTTTTTTCGGACCCGGGTCCGAATAGATAAAAATTATATTTGAACACGAGTCCGAATAGATAAAAATAATATTCAGACTTTCAAGTCCGACTTGGCCATATTTTTAAGCATGGAAAAATTAAAGTTTTTTTTTTTAATTCAATCGATGCTTACAGTTTTTAAAGGGTGTTAATTCATGATTAACTTTAGCATTCTTATAATTTACTTTTAAATTCCGTCATACACTAGGTTTTCAACTCCTATTCTTTCGAATGAAAGTACTTGAAGAAAATGCAAAGAACTCAGTGTTTAAGATCAGCAATCTGTTAGAAAGACATAATGTCCAAAAAAGTAACACTAATTGCGGTCTAGCACACAAATAACGAGGGCTGGATCAGAAATTTTTGCGCAATGTACGAATTTTACAATACAAATTTCTGGTGATATTAAGGGGAATGGACAAAGTTGGACAAATTGATCCAAATTTTACAAGATTAATTCATGCTCCCTGTGCCATCATGTGTGATGGGTTCAGAGTAGCTCAAACATTTTACGGATTTTGATTTTTCCGATTAAACCTCGACCATAAAGCTGCTTGTCAGTTTAGCCATCATTATTAAATCGGCTAGCCTCTTCCTTCTCTTCTATAGATCTAGATTCTAGATTTAGAAAATCTATCTACATCTAGATTAGATCTAGATCTAGATCTAGATCGATAGTCCATAGTAAACAAAGTATGAGGCAAACAAGCTGCTGGGGGCAGAGATATAAATATAACAGAGTGTCTACCTACACAGTAACCGGGCACCTAGCCTCAGTGTCTACGTACACGGTAACCGGCAACAGGGCACGTAGTCTCAGTGTCATGTACAGGGTAACCAGGAACCAGGCATGTAGTCTCAGTGTCACGTACACGGTAACCCGGCAGTTCAGAACTCCCAAGTATAGTTTTTGTCATCCGGTGTTGCCTTCATCCCCACCCCCTCCCCCGACTGTACCATTAAAAAAAAATTAATTAAATCCCTACCATTCCGGAGCCCTATACTTTGCAGCGCACAGACTTGGAATGAACTTTGGTGACCCTAACGGGTACTCACAATATGATGAACACGCACAGGTTCACCGACTGGTCATAATGGCGAGCCCGACAAGACACTTCTTGTATATATGACTTTCTTTTTTTTTTTCAGCAAGTGACAACACAGGACAAATATTGATTTCTTTTCATTCCGGTCACCGTGTACGTAGATACTGAGACTAGAATCTACCGGTTACCTTACCGTATACGTAGACACTCCGTGTCGTAAATAAAAAGAGTTTTATAAACCGAAAACAAAGGAGAACAAGGCAGGCCACACTAGACCCTTGCCATAATATACCTCTATAGTAGAGTATAATTAATCTTGATTTGATGTGGTACTAGAACCTAGACTCTCTAGATTCTAGATCTAGATTCTAGATCTAGAATCAAGAAATCTAAATAAATCTTGCTCACCACGAACTTCCACAGTTCACAGTTCACAGGAGGCAACCCAACAGTTGATCAGTTCTCATTCCAAAAAAAGTTCTAAACTATTAAACTGTCGATCATTTGGATTACCATCTACTTCAAATACTTCATTCACTTGAAGATTTGTTATGTCATTACGAAGTGAAATTCTTAACTCACGTCTTGACAAAATCGTCCACAGTCCACGAATCTCTCAACTGACAACTCCCACTCGCACTGAATTTTTACTTTGTAAAGGCTGTTCCGTCGTAACAAACAAGCAGGAAAGAACCACGGCCTGGATGCACGATTTTCAAACTGCTTGCACTGCACTGCACATTAAAATTCAGCGTTGGTTAACTACAGCATGCCAGATCTATGCCAGCGGAGATGTGAAACTAGTGTATAAAAAAGCGCCAACATCCTTACTTCTTTTATTCCTGGACTTTCCGTTCGCTACCGCATCAGTCATCATTCGGGGGGAAAAACAGTTTCAAGAGTTACTTTTCTATTTTCACCTCACGTGAATGAGTTAACAAATTTCGTTTATTGCTTTCAAAGTAAGTCTCCCTGCTCGGAAAAGTCTTAAACATGTACTCATGTACATTGTAAGCTTATTATTAGATAAAACGGGATAAATTCAGCCATTTCGGGTGCTCCTGCTCAAGACGCTTGTCAGAGGTAGGCCTACTTAAAAAAGCGTCCACTCAAATGCTTTTGGAATTGTGTGTAGGCCTATCATTAGGTAAAAATACATGCAGGCCCACATGGACCCTGAAATTACAGCCAAACTGCAATTCAAAACGGATTATAATCATTAGGAGACAATACTCTTCAGAACGGTACTCTGTAATGTACGTCGGGCTGTCACCCAGAAAACATAGTTTTCTTCTCCTCTTACTTTAAAAGTGCATTATGTTATCACCATATTATTAATGGAACTAAGTGGGTGTGCGGGTGCTCTGGTGTGGTTTGCTCCTTCTTTCCAAACAAACATCTTCATCTATCGTCTTTATCTCTCCTTTTTTGTGTTTGTTACTCTCTTGTAACACCTCTTATTTTCGGCACTTTTATGACCTTATTGTGTTGTTAGTGCGGTAAAACATTTCTTAAAAACACTAAAGGAAATAAAATACATATTACGTAACCTATTCTGCACCGAGTCCAGCTATCACCAAGCAAAGTGTACAGGTGCTAGATATCTAGTTGTCAAACTGGTATCTAAATTGGAATTCCCAGATTTACCAAAGATCGTGGAGTATGGATTTAGGCCAACTTCCACGAAATTTACGAAAGCGATAAAAATAACCCAACGAAACTAAAAGTAGATCTAGCATAGAGGATTAGGCCTAGTATAATAATAAATAAAGTGGGTTTTTTAAATTGTGAAACAGTTTCATTTGGGTCTAACTGCAACCAATGGATATATCTCTACACCC